GTCTTGCGCCCGAGCAGGAGGGAGGGGTGGGGCAGGGCAGGGCAGGGGACATTGGAGCCCGGCTCGGGCTCAGGAGCAGCTGTGCGGGATCTTTTCCCCACCATGTGGGGACTGCCCGGTGAGTGCCCACCCCCTGCCGGTCCCGGTCCCGCGGGCTCAGACCGCGCCACGGAGCCGCCCCACGGCCGGTCGGGCTCGGGCCCCTCTTTCCTTCCTCTCCTTTTCAAAAGGACTGAAAGCAGGGCCCACGCAGGTAGTAAAAGGGCTGAAGTTTCCACAAAAAAAAAAAAAGAGACTTCCTCCTTGCGAAACCAGCCTGCGGTCGAGGGGCACGAAGCAAGTGGTTTTAGAGTGCCTGGCAAAGACCTTATAACTCAGCATTTTGCTGTATGTAGTACGAGCTGCCCCCAGGCTTCATTTCACTTCTGCCAGATATGCCTTTTTTTTTTCTTTTACTCCCTAGCAAGACAGCTGGCTCATCTTCTGTGTACTTCTTCTTTGCCTGTTTACCTCTGCCTTCAGTCTCTGCTGACCTTTGGGGTACAGAAAGTCAGATAAAAACCTAGTGCGTGTCCTAGAAGTGGTACTGCCTGAACTGAATCTGAGGCAGCTGAAAGTAGAAGTGAAATGCAGTTGCTACATGTCCCATTGTCCTTAGGAAGTTGCATCACTCTCCATCTCTGTGCAGGCAGGGCAAGTTCAGGCACAAGTACTAATATGTTCAGTTTTCTGTTCCTCTAAAGCTCTGTTGTTAGACCCTCAGCATCCTGTTCCATCGCAATGTCATCACCTCATCTTTTTTTGTCCTAGCTTCCAGCATGGAGAATTACTCTGTTTCTTATGCAGTATCTTGCATGTCTACCTCGCACTCTCCGTTTCACTACGAGCTCTTTGGAGTCTACTCAGTCCTTTACTGCCCGTTTCTTCTGGTTCGCAGGCAGAGTGATGACTGTGTTGCAGAAGAAGGTTCCAGTGAGTCTGAGGCTGACCAAAGGGATGGATCTGAGGATAAGGAGAGGATTCTGTAGTAAATCCCAGGAGGGGATCAATCAGAACTTGAAAGGTAGGGGCTTGGGGCAAGCTGGAATTAGTTCATCAGCAGATCAGGCCTGTAGTAGTGGGGCAGGGACTGGGGGTGCAGCATAGGATCCAGGCTGGGAGCAGGATGGGGCCACAGGCTACTCATCTGGGTGCGTGGAGGGATGGAGTTCAGTTCCCAACCACTGTGTCCACCCCCCAGTGCCCTCCCAAATTTGTGCGTGGAAGAGATGTGGGCTGCTCGCTGTGGGCTCTCTCTGTCCTGCTGATTTTGCCCCAGGAGCACTGCGCTGGCCCCACCCCTGCTGCCAGCCCAGCAAGAGTGGGGGCCATGAGCTGTGCCTCCCACAGCAGGTACGGGGCTGGCGCAGGCCTGGGGCAAAGGCAGCGCAGCAGAGAGACCCGAGCCCACAGCCTGCACTCGCCCTCTGGGGGAGGAGAAGCCAAGGCGGGCATGTGACCCCACCCCCAGCCGGGCCCGGCT